GCAGCGTCATAACTATTTCAACTATGCAGCTAGAATCTGGCAGTACGTAGTAACTAAGTGTGTTGAACATTTTTTGTTCTTGGGTGCATGTCAAAACGTGTATTGCTTGGCGGCCATATTGGATTTCGTCAGATTCTGATGATACTACATTATAAACAGCATAGCTGCTCAAGTTCTGCACGGAAGACAGTAAAACTTGGCAGTATGCATCAACATAAGATGCTTAACATTTCGTGTTCTTACATGCATATCAAAAATTTGATTGTTTGGCGGCCATATGGCATTGAAAATTGCACAAATGCATTATGTGTCCAAAACGGCATAAAACAGCTTATAACTCCACCACTATTGCCCAAATCGCTTCCATATTTGGTATGTGACTTGGTCATGAGATGCCGATCATTTTGTCTGGTAGTCCCAGCTCGATATCTCTAGCCGTTTGGCCGCCATCTTGGATTGAAGTTTTCATTTTCAGGTTGACCATAGCAACAGAAGTTGAAATCCAAATGACTTGAATTTTACAGCATTATGAGGCACAGTCGAGGGGATGCTGTGTGCAAAATCCCAACTCTGTACGTTTAATAGTTCCGGAGATACTAACTATACAGTATTTTGGCTGACAGACGTACGGACAGACGGCGGACATATTTGTCATTAAATCTGACCAGCGCATATGATACATCGGGTCTGGGCAAAGCAGAAACATTAATTCCTTTCACCCTAGAGGCAATAACAATGGCGTCTTAGCTCGCCAAAAAACTTGTTTTTGTCTTGTGACGGACCGGTCAAGTGACCTTGACCCCCGTGACCTTGGTGAACTTGACCATTAGAAAGCATTTTTGATATACTATCAAGTTCCGGGGTCAAAACCCCGAAAAACTCAAAAATAACGATTTTGTAATTAGGGCTCCTTTGCCTTTAGGCAGGAGACCTATTGTAATCGTTCGTGTTTTTATTATTAGGGCTCCTTTGCCTTTAGGCAGGAGACCTATTGTAATCGTTCGGTTTTTATTATTATTATTATTATTTCTTATTCCGCCGGATTTTGTTCCACTCCTACAAAGAGCACCAGTGGACTGAATCGCTTGAAAAAAATCACCCAGATGCCCATGTATCATAAGTTTAATCGACATTTACAGCACGACAGATTACCCGTGCAAAACATGCGACAGTCTGAAGGAAAGCGCAAGGACGATATCTCTTATAAAGAGACTACCACTGCAAAGCGTGGTCAACGTGCAGATATGGGAGACGATGTCAATTTCAATTGACAATGACGAGAGCTAGCGCTACACAAAATTAAAATACACTGCAGTAGAGGTGCTATTCCTTCATTGTAATTCAATCTTTTGTAAGGGGTATATCTTTAGGCAGCTTTTAAAGATTGTCAGTGATTGAGCGTTCCGGGTCAGGGTAAAAGTTCTAGCTGTGGTCTAAGGGGGGTAACTCTGGTCTAGCTGAAGTAAGCGCTAGTAAAATCGGCTCCGGTTTTGCAAAGCCCGAAGAGTAATGCGCTTCTGCTAACAATTCGGTGCTGTTTGCATAGATTTTAAAACTTCATAGGTGACCTGTATCGCGGTGTTACGTGTATTTCCAGTATATATACCTGCTCTCGATTCACAAATTCAGTTGCAACAGCCCGAGTGTAACAGTGTAATGGATACTGATACAAAACTACTGAAGTACCTTAACTGCTGTGTAATCACAAGTTCACTTGCGTGAGCGTTAGTGTGACTGACTGATTGAGTTTAGTTTTACGCCGCAGTCAGCAATATTCAAGCTATATGGCAGTACTTTATATCACCGACAGCCAAGGTTTATATTACCAAATGTGTCATAGGTTTCTCCCACATTAACTATACAGCAGGTTACCCGTGCAAAGCATGCGACAGTCTGTAAGAAAGCGCGGGGACGATTATGTCTGCTCCTTCAAACACGAACTCAAGCTGTTTTTCTATCGACTGCCCACAGACGCAGGCAAGTTGTACACGTTTATTCACCGTGTCGTTTGAAGAATCGCTTGAAAAAAATCACCATGGTGCCCACAGTTCTGAAGTTGTTTTACATGACCCCCGCCGACCGGCGACCAGGGGTCAAGTTTTCTTGTCCTCGGAACTCATGTTTTCCAGCTTTAAACACCCGTATCTCTGAAACCAACCGTCCGATTTCGACCAAAATTTGGATATGCCTTTATGCCGCCAGTGCACCTTGTTTGTACCAGTTGCAGCAACATAGCTGCAAAGACAACGGAGGTACAAATAATATCCTATTTTCCTCACTACAGTTGCTAATCTTGATTGGTTTTCTACTGAGGGCTATGGAAATTGTCAGTGTATATGTGTATGGTTTGCTGATCACTTTTTATTCTAACATACATGTTAAAGGTATCACTGTTTCGTGGTTAGAGGCAGCCCTGAAAATCCTAAATATCCACTCACTCGCCGACTTTGTGATGACTGGAATGTGTCATAACTTTCTCGGAGATTTACGACACGCAGATTACCCGTGCAAAGCATGTGACAGTCGGAAGGAAGGCGCAAGGACGATATCTCCTTTTAAGAGACTACCACTGCAAAGCGTGGTCAACGTGCAGATATGGGAGACGATGTCAATTTCAATTGACAATGACGAGAGCTAGCGCTACACACAATTAAAATACACTGCAGTAGAGGTTTTATATCTTCATTGTAATTCAATCTTTTGTAAGGGGTATGTCTTTAGGCAGCTTTCAAAGATTGTCAATGAATGAGCGTGCCGGGTCATAGTAAATGTTGTAGCTGTGGTCTAAGGGGGGTAACTCTGGTCTAGCTGAAGGAAGCGCTAGTAAAATTATGTCCACACCCATCACTCGCCGGCTTTGCAATTCCCGAAGGGTAATGCGCGCGTTTGCCAATCAATTCTGTCTTGTGCAGTTTGCATGGATTTGAAAACTTCATATGTGACCATCATCGAGCGGTTAGGGTATTTCCAGTATATATACCTGCTCTCGATTCACTATTCATTTGCAACAGCCCGAGTGTAACAGTGTAATGGATACTAATACAAACTACTGAAGTACCTTAATTGCTGTGAAATCACAAGTTCACTTGCGTCAGCGTTAGAGTGAGTGAATGAGTGAGTTTAGTTATACGCCGCACTCAGCAATATTCAAGCTATATGGCAGTACTTTATATCACCGACGGCCCAGGGATACATTGCCGAATGTTTCAAAAGTTTCTCACACATTTACGACACACGGCAGATTACCCGTGCAAAACATGCAACAGTCTGTAGGAAGCGCGAAGACGATTATGGCTGCTCCTTCACAGGTTCTCGCGCTGTTTGTTATCGATTCCCCACAGACGCAGGCAAGTTGTACACGTTTATTTACCGTGACAGCACGGATAGTAATGGAAAACTAATACGTAAGTATTCAGTCACATGTTCATGACATCTACATCTATATCTACATCTCAACATGTGCATGGGATTCCTTGGCGCCACTTTGCAAAATTAATTTTTCCCCTTATGATATCTCCTATAAGTTGAGTTGGGCTTTCCGTCACATCGGCATTATTTCAGCCACATAGTGACGAAAACAAGTCTGCATTAATAGACATTGTAAGTACACAGTCAAAATGTGTTTTATTTCAAAACCTATATATTCATTACAGTGTCATTTAAAAACAGAAAAAGTCATAGCAATAAATTTAAAAGCAGGCAATTTGTTAGTCACATTACACATTTACAATTTATGATACAGACTTCCTTCAGGTAGTTCACTATCAGATGAGCGCTCACGCGGGAGAACAAATATCTCCTATAAAGAGACTACCACTGCAAAGCGTGGACTAAGTGCAGATATGGGGAGACGATGTTAATTTCAATTGACAATGACGAGGGCTAGCGCTACACAAAATTAAAATACAGTGCAGTATAGGTTTTATATCTTCATTGTAATTCAATCCTTTGTAAGGGGTATGTTTTTAGGCAGCTTTTAAAGACTGTCAATGAATGAGCGTGCCGGGTCATAGTAAAAGTTGTAGCTGTGGTCTAAGGGGGGTAACCCTGGTCTAGCTGAAGGAAGCGCTAGTAAAATCGTTCAAGACCACCAACTCGCCGGCTTTGCAATGCCCAAAGAGTAATGCGCTTTCGGTAACATTTGGGGTTTCTGCAGTTTGCATGGATTTTAAAACTTCATAGTGACCTGTATCGAGGTGTTACGTGTATTTCCAGTATATAAACCTGCTCTCGATTCACAAATTCAGTTCGAACAGCCCGAGTGTAACAGTGTAATGGATACTGATACAAACTACTGAAGTACCTTAATTGCTGTGAAATCACAAGTTCACTTGCGTCAGCGTGTTAGTGAGTGAGTGAGTGAGTTTAGTTTTTACGCCACACTCAGCAATATTCAAGCTGTATGGTGGCGGTCTGTAAATAATCGAGTCTGGACCAGACAATCCAGTGGTTATCAGCATGAATATTGATTTGCGCAATTGTGAACCGATGACATGTGTCCACCAAGCTCAACGTGAGAGAAACAGCGTTGTGGATATTGGTACATGCTACACAAATACAGAGTACGGGCGCTTCGTGTCACATTTCAACTTGGCTGTTGTTGATACGTATTTAAATGGAAATGTTATCTACACTCACCCGAAAATAAACACCAAAAACAACCACATTTTCAGTAAAAAGAAATAAATTATTAGCAATTGAACGTGCATTATTCTTTTTTCTTCGATTTTCTAATCAAGCCAACAGCTGTTTCCAAAGCCATAAGTGTAATTACCCATACCATACAACACAATCCTTTGTATCTAACCCTCAAACATAAGAATTCAAAGTTTACTGCTGAAGTATTTATCATTACTGACAATGATATAATCCATATCAGCTACAGCCTTTACTGCTTTCGACATCTGCATGACAGGTACCAAATGCCTAGAAAATATCCAAGCCAAGGAGCCCTCAATGTTGCTTGCAACTTTAATTATTATTATTGTTATTAATTTCAGATTTTCATCGATGGCAACAACTTCTATGAAGCCCCAATACGGATTTCTGTGCAGGAGGCCGCGAAACTTTACATCAAATTCAGCCGCCTTGAGTCTGTGGAAGTGAAGTACCCGTGACATCATTTGTTTTCTTGATTATATTTTGCCATTGCATTACCCAGACTGTTAAATCTGATATGGTGTGTTCTGTACTCGCCTACATACAGCGTGTTCAGCTTGACCTGAGCTACTCTACATATGCATGACCCAGGAGGTCAAATGGCATAAACGGCAGGTGGAGTTAACCTCATTAAATAGGGGAGCAGAGAATGTTAAACGGCGACCTTGTCTCGGCTGTTCGAACATGTTGACAATCAACTGACAGAGGTGCAACCCTTCACAATAATAGACCCAACCAGTTGTGACACGGTCACGTAACGCATTAGTATTCACTTGATCAGGTCAAGCTGAACAAGCTGTACCAATTCGCCTTCTGTCTTAGAACATTTTATGGTCTGTTAACTGTTGATTACGCAATGATGAACTTGTGTCACTCCTATGATGTAAAAGTGGACTCTCCTAGTTGAGTGAGTGAGTGAGTGAATTATAATTTAAAGTCACATCGGCAGTATTTCAGCCATATCGTGACTAAGAAAGTTATAAATTTATAAACGAATGAAAACAAAGTTAGCTAATATACTTACTGTCTGCTCTTCTAGTTGAAGTAGTTGAAGGACAATAAGACAGTTTCTTAAAAGTTTTATTTATTTCCGTTACTTGTCATTTTCTGATCACAATGAAATCACTATATTTCGAACTAATGGATAATGTTAAGAAGATCAATTTATGTTATCGCCACGCGGCTAATCCTGACTTTCCAACAAACTTGAATTTGGATTTAGAAAAGAACACGGTGCAAACATAGCTGTTCATATACTGAAAGAGACAATAGCATATTGCATGGAGAGAGAATCAAATATCTTTTTGATTCCTGGATAATGAAAAGGTATTCCACAGGATTTGGCATAATGGTCTGTTATTCAAATTGTTTGATACAGGTGCTACCGGACAGGCGTGGCACTTGATCAGACACTCGTACAAAGAAGCGTCTGCTTGTGTTCAATACAACGGCATCACGAGTCGTACTGTCCCAATCAGACAAGGAGTGGGGCAAGGAAGTGTTATCTGCCTGGATATTCCTCCTTTACGTCAACGATCTGATCACTCAACTCAGCAACCTCAGGCGGGGGGTGTTGATTGGACCCAGACTTACAACGGTTTACTGCTATGAACACGGGCCTCTCGTCCCATAGACTGTGGAACATGTGCTTACAGTTTGATCTGTACAGTAGGCCTGTGTACGCCCTGGTGAAGCTGGGGATACTACCGATCAGTGCTGGACTTACTTGTGATGAGGAGGCGGATAATATTGTGCAGCACCAGTTATTGTACTGCAATGAACTGTTTAGACGCAGATATACCATGTATGAACAATTGTTCGAGACATACATTAATCGGGAGAGTAGCTCTGATGACATCAGAACTATCACTCTACTTGGTGGCATCACCCTCAAAGTGGACAACATTGACATCCACACGTGGGCCCATTTCATTGACATTGATGCCAGGAGAATTAGTTCGTGGAACCTACAGCGCAGGATTTACCTATGAATCGTATTTCATTCCATCACCTCCAGTGTATTATGACACTTGAAGGTCCGGGTTAGAACTGATCTTCAGTAGCCCATGCTTGTCGTAAGAGGCGACTTACGGGATCGGGTGGTCAGGCTCGCTGATTTGGTTGCCACATGTCATCGGTTCCCAATTGCGCAGATCGATGCTCATGCTGTTGATCAGTGGATTGTCTGGTCCAAACTCGATTATTTACAGACCGCTGCCATATAGCTGGAATATTGCTGAGTGCGGCGTAAAACTCACTCACTCACTCCAGTGTATTATACATACATATGCTTAACTTTCTTTCCCATTTAGGCGGTGGGGTAGCCGAGTGGTTAAAGCGTTCGCTCGTCACGCCGAAGTCCCGGGATCGATTCCCCACATGGGCACAATGTGTGATATTGCTGTAATATTGTTAAAAGCGGCGTAAAACTAAAGTCACTCACTCACTCATTCTTTCCCATTGTAATATGATTTGTATATAATCATGTATTTTGTATTCATGTAAAAAATCAAAGTACTCTCCGACATTATTGGGGAAATAAAGATAACTTATTCATCTATATATTATAGTCGTCTTAACTGTCCTTTTTATCACCTGAGTTGATGTATCACGAATATATAACTTGTTTAGTCACAATATGGCTGAAATACTGCCGCTGTGACTATAAATCTTAACTGACTCACTCCTACAGATTTTGAAGATATATTTATAATAATTTGATAGCTTACAGTTCAATATAACGTGTGGAAACAAAAGGTTAGTCCAACATCTGTACGTACACCGACAAACTAAGACGATTGTGATATGATTAACAAATGTATTTTACTGATTACCTAAGTTTTTTTTATTGTTCCAAATACGTTGAATACAAGCATATAGAGGAATATGTGTACATACCAGCTTGTGGACTCGATAGAGATATAGTATGATAAATATCGACATCAGTAATGTGTTTTGGGTAAACAGTCATTCAGGATTAAATTCTGGGATGAGAGGAAACCATTTGGCTAAAAAGCTTATTATTACTTCTGGAAATGAATTTTTCACTGGTGAATATTGTTTTTTTAACTTTTGGAATTGTTTTTTCAAAAGCAAGTGTAAATATACCTCTTAGCAGATAAGATTATGTGATTCAGAGATGGGTTCTTACGTAAAATGCCATACCAGATCGAAGTTCTTGTCAAATTAAGTGCTTGGATACGTAATGAGTACCTAAGTTGATGGTTCAAAATAGAGTAGCAGTACAATTGTAATGAGACTAAAGTAATGACAGTGTAGATCATAGAGTGCGGCGGAAAACTAAACTCACTCACTCACTCCAGATGTCAGGAAAGATCCCGACTTGGTTGATACATGCCATCTCATCCCGGGTGCGTAGATCGATGCTCATACTGTTGATCACAGGATTTGTGGTCCAGACTCGATTAGATTTCAACACTCTCGCATGAATAATGGTATAGGGTACGGTACGTGCTTACGCTGTTCTTATTGCTCTTTGTTTGCTTGTTGTTTAACGCCGCACTCAGCAATATTTCCGCTATGACGAGTCTGGACCAGACAATCCAGTGATCAACATCAAGAACATTAATCTTCGCAATTCGGATACGATGACATGTGTCAGCCAAGCCATCCGATCCTGATAGTCGTCTCGTACGACAAGCACGGGTTGCTGAAGATCAATTCCATACATCTTCACGGGTCAACATTCTTATTACTGCTGTATCTTGCTCCGTTAAAGAGAGTGAGTGAGTTTAGTTTTAGCAATAAAGACAATGATTGTAATATTCTCACAACTGCTAGTCTGCTTTTCATTTTAAATATACGAGTACTAGGAGCACAGTGCCCAGTCTGTCTATCCACATGATAAAAAGTATCGCAACACATATTTTTCATGGTATCAACAACCATTGTTTTACAAACTATATTATTCACTAGCTGTGTATGTAAAACCATGAAAGGTGTGGCCAGCAATCGATTTCTCTGGCACCAGGAGACAATCGCCTCCCCAGTAATATCCAATGTGGTTTGCGAAAACACCATCCCAGACGTACCATAGACCATTTGGTGCGTCGAGAACCATTAGGTCATGTAGTCATAGGAGGTAACACTTGACAAACAGCTACCTCCACTGCTTATACAGCATTGTGATTTCAAACCCACTTTCAAAAGTTACACAGTCCAGGTAGGAAGGAATTGACTTCACAAAGTGAAAAAAAAATCGGTTATACCTGCCTGGGTTGTCAGATAAGACATGATGAGGTAATTTTACGATGATGTATTGGCCATAGTCGGTTAACTACTTAAAGCAGGTGGGGATGATGAGGTAATTTTACGATGATGTATTGGCCATAGTCGGTTTACTACTTAAAGCAGATGGGGATGATGAGGTAATTTTACGATGATGTATTGGCCATAGTCTGTTTACTACTTAAAGCAGATGGGGATGATGAGGTAATTTTACGATGATGTATTGGCCATAGTCTGTTTTTACTACTTAAAGCAGATGGGGATGATGAGGTAATTTTTCGAAGATGTATTGGCCATAGTCTGTTTACTACTTAAAGCAGATGGGGATGATGAGGTAATTTTACGATGATGTATTGGCCATAGTCGGTTTACTACTTAAAGCAGATGGGGATGATGAGGTAATTTTACGATGATGTATTGGCCATAGTCGGTTTACTACTTAAAGCAGATGGGGATGATGAGGTAATTTTACGATGATGTATTGGCCATAGTCGGTTTACTACTTAAAGCAGATGGGGATGATGAGGTAATTTTACGATGATGTATTGGCCACAGTCGGTTTACTACTTAAAGCAGATGGAGATGAACCTAAGCGTATATCCATTAAGCATATTCTGCTTGAACTTTGTACTAAAAATGGACTTGTTGATATTTGCAGACTTTTTCTCGTATCTATGTGGCTGAAATAATGCCGATGCAACGTACACTTTTTACATTACATTACATACTAACATTTGTATAGCGCCGATATCCAGCACAGCTCATCAAAGGCGCTTAGTTTTTCCCTCGTTCACTGGATGTCAATCTCAACGGCACATCGTATTGTCAATCTCAACTCCATGAGGAGTATACAACTCTTGCAGCCACTAGGCGCACCGAGTTATTGTGGCATTCCCATCCTTACGAGGTACCCATTGACAGCAGGGTGGACTGGGACACATCGTCACTGTACTTTGTCCAAGTTTACTGCACGTTGCTGTACCCGCAACTAGGTGTTTGCACGTATTCATGTGGCCACCATCTGGTCATATGCCAACGGATTCGTGGTTTTTTTTAAGTGCACAGGGTTGTGTACTGTACACTAGGGGTTTTGACAACACTGAAAGAGTCTGCACACAAAGTTGACTCCAAGGTTTTTACACCCGGTCACAGGTGGGCTCGATCCCGTCACCTCATGCTCGCTAGATCACTAGCCTGGCGCTTTAGCCAGTTCGCCCACCGCGCCCCCGCACACTTAAACTTGCTCACTCACCACAGTCGGTATACTCATGAATATCTGCTGGAAAGGACGTGGACGACCCTCCAAAATGTATTCCTTGTGATGAAAGGTTCACCATCAAGCACATTTGGCCACACTGTAAGGGTGACTAAACAGATCGATAACATCATCGATGGGAATAATTATTAATGATTATCGATATGAAAATTGTATAACCAATAATAAAGTACATGGAATATTGTGATGAACTACTTAGTGAGTGAGTGAGTTTAGTTTTACGCCACACTCAGCAATATTCCAGCTATATGGCGGCGGTCTGTAAAAATTCGAGTCTGGACCAGACAATCCAGTGATCATCCCTTCTCGACTGTGTGGATTTTTCAGTTGTAAAGGACTCAAGTTATCAAGCAGTAAACAAGAAAGATCTGTTTACTATGGAATACTGTAAGGGACATTCTCGCGATCTCGACCTTTGGAAACAAGCTAAAATTGCCAAAAGTGCGAGAATGCGAGATCGCGAGAACGCGAGA